TTTCCAGTTTTGAAGGCTTTACTTCTGATAAAATCAAAGGAATTACACATAAAATTATCATAAAACACAAGTTTAAATGAACATTTCTAATCATATTTCACATTAACTTCATTTACAATTCATTTGCTGTTTAGTGGCCTATGATATGAGCCGACACTTAATGTTCGTTTACGGGACCCTCAAAACAGGTAACTCTTTATTATTACAAATATTTTCAATTCTCTCAAAACACCTGCTCTTTAATTATTAGGTCAACCCAATCATTACCTAATGAATGATAGTGAGAATGGCGTGGCTCAGTTTGTTGCAAAGGGTCAAACGATGGATAAGTGGCCGCTTGTGATCGCATCCAAGTATAACATACCGTTCCTCTTACATAAAAAGGATTTCGGAAAAGTAATGCCTTTTACTCTATTTTTACTGTATTTATATATTAGTTCTGGTTAATATAGTTATTAGTTATTAGTTATAGTACTAATAGTTACCAGTAAATATAGTAACATACAGTTTATCAATACAGTATTACACATTCATTAGAATTAGATTATTGATTAAATGTGCAAACTTTGAGTTTTAGCATTCAAATAGAAATATTGTCTATTTATCAGAGAATTTGTGGCGAAATATACTCAGTGGACAATAAGATGAGACATTTTTTAGACGAATTTGAATCACATCCGTCTTATTACAGGCGACTTGAAACTGAGGTGACTTTAGAAGACGGATCAGTTATGAAGCCATGGATTTATTTCCTATTAGATTTCAAACCGCAATTTTTAGACTTGGTAACCTATTCATGTTATGACAGTTATGGTGACCACGGCTTACCATACGTGGAGAGGTCTGCTAGAAATCATGATAATGACGGTACAGGAGAGAAAAATGATGTCATTTCTGAAATTCATTTATAGCGAACAGACATCAAGTGTGGATGACATGAATCAGTGAAAGTATGCGATGAAAAAGATTTTAATCCCTATTTCGTCACAAATACCATCACTTTTTTGGGTCACTTTTGTTAATTCCTTAGAAAATTCTTTTAGCTTTTTTATCTCAAGTTTTTGCGTAAATGTGTTAAGAATTTCGAAAATAATGACAAAATAAAACAAAGTTTTTTTGTGATGATTTATGTCGAGTAATTAAATGATTGAGAAGTGCTTTAAAAATAGGTTAAAATCAAATTGAACGCAAAGTGTTGGAAAACAACTGATTTATTAGTTGAAAGGATGACTAGGATTTTGATTTTGTATATGTTTTTGTTTCGATTAAAACTACAAAGTTTACAAATATGTTTGACTACAGAGAACTTCAAAACTATAAGTGATATATATATGTCATTTATATGGTATATTTATATATTAAACATATTCTGATATTAAAAATTTCAATTAAAAATGCCAAAAAAGAAATGCTTTCTCTTTTAGCGGTAATTGAAATCATATCATAATTATAAATAAATAACACAAATATATTAGAAATAAATTATTCTGAAAAATCTGAGTTTCAATATACGCTAATGTTATCACAAAATGGATTTTATCTCTCGTCTCTTGTTAACTAAAAACATTCAATTAATACTAAATTTTCATATAAATACAATAGAATTGGAGCACAAATACAATATATCTTGCACTTTGGTTTTGAAGCTCTCGCTGTTTAGTAATGTCTTAAATTAAATAATTAATTGATTTAAATATAAATATAAACACTAGAGATCACAGTAAAACAAATCGATTGTTAAAACATTATAAAAGCATTAAAAGCTTATTATAAAATGCGATTAAAAGGTTGACAAAAATTGTTGACATCAAGTGGAGAGTGTGGCTAACATTAGCCGCTCCTCTTCGGATAGGTCTAAACCACTCTTCAGGGTTCGTCTCACTGTTGAGACAAAAAAGACAGATTTACTAATAATTAAATGTTCAGGCTTAGAATTGTGACTCAATACATGATTTTCTATCTCCATAACGATTAGCTTTGCGTCGATTCCGCTGTTCGTTACGAATGGGTTGAGTAGTGGTGCGGACGAGACTCTCCAGAATCTCGTCGTCGGCTTCAGTATAGGCCTCAATGTTGACGCTGTGTCTGAAGTGTACGGGAGGTCTGGTTTGAGTTGAGTTCAAATTCGACAGATTAGTCATCGATCCACTCGATGGACGCCTGAGTTTAGTGCCCGGAAGTGTACCCCATTTGGTGGGCCGTCCGCCACACCCTTCCGACTCGTAGTCACTACCGCTAATCAATAGCTGTTTGAGTTCGTGATCGGCCTCTTGTTCTTTGGTCTTAAACTTATCCAACTGTTCATTGAATAAACAAAAGTTAAAGTGATTAATATGTATATTTCTCAATGCATTTCTCAATACTGTATAAATATTATTCTTATAAACCAAGGATTATTAATATTATTCTTATAAACAAAGGATTATTACTTCAGTAATCATTTTGCCTCTCGTTTTATTCCGCTCCCTGTGATTGGCCTTCTTCTCCAACTGTTCCCTCACTCTCTCGCGAGTGGTTCTGTACTCCAAAGCAAATTCGCTGATAATCTTTAGCACGGAATTGGGTTTTGTTTCCTTTAACTGATGTGACGGAAGACCCAAAAAGACCAGAAATTTCTTGAATCTATTAATAACTCTTCTGTGAATAATTCCCAAAACGATTATACGTTCAGCACAATCGGCCAAAAACTCTGACATTCGGACTTTCATTGGTGTGGAGCCGTCGTGTTTGGCGATCACCTTCAGGTGCTCCCACGAGGCCTTGCAATCCATTTCCATTTTTTGCAGACTTTTGGACACTTCCTCGAAGTCTTTCTTAGACGCCCGGGAAACTGAACCCAATTCTGTATATAAATCACTAGATTTGGGATACTTTTCCATAACTATATGACATAAATGATGAAGAAGTGAGTGCTTATGGACGGTATCCTTCACTTCGGGAACTTTTGCCAAATAATCGATTTGAAAGCCTTTCGCTTCGACGCCATTCAAGAAGTTTCCGATTGAGAGCAAAGTTCCCAAAATTATTTTAAAAGTCTCGCACTTCTCGAGCTCAGCGGTCGCCTGCTTCAGATCCATGAGTGGTTCGGCCACTTCTCGCTCCAACAGGTCGTAGTCTAACCGAAAGGCCCACAACCGAAGTCTGGCCTCCAGTGCACTGATCGACGCTAAAGTCAATAGAAACGATTCGGCAGAACCTAACGGCACGTCGGGGTTAGCCATCTGTGCCTCAAGTATTTTTGTCTTTTCATCTTCGGTTGGCATCATTGTTGATAAGATCTTTTCGATGCCCTCTCTGTTCATAATGGTTGCGTCCATTTTGAGGATAGCAGTCTTGACAGTGCGAGGGGGTGGTAGCTTGGTCATCCCTATGTTTATGGCATTCGAGCGCTTCGTATCCAAAACTACGGTCTCATTCTTTTTGCCCGATTCTTGTGCTTTCTATACAAGAAATGTGTGAATCATTCATACGTTAATCGCTATTCTAATGCTTCACAATAAACTCATACAAAGCCTTACCTCCTGTTCAAGCGATTCATTCAGTTATATAAGTGTTAGGATAAGTTGAAGCAAAGAAAATAAAAGAATTATTTAGTGATGAACCAAATGACCACAAATTTCTTAGACATTAGACATGCACATCATTATATCAAATCATGCATTTCAAATCAAACTCAACCTCCAAATTGTGTACAAAATTGCAAAATCCATACCTTATTCATCAACTCTTTAGCTCTGCTCTCAAACAAATGCTCCAACTTTTGAGAGTCGACTGAAACGGTTTTGATTTCGTCCCAAATGGTCTTCTTCTTCATTATACGACTCAACAGTGATTTGTCTTCTTTTACTTCTTTCCAAAACAATTTAATTGTTTTCTTATTCTTTGGTATTAGCTTTGAATTCGACAGATCTGGTGATGGCGTCGGCGATGGAGTGTTTTGGTGGCGTTGATTGCATAGCCATTGCTGTGAACCTCCGAAGCGAGGCATCGGTGGCGGCGGTGGAGTAGCTGTGCCTGAGTTGGGTGGTGGTGGTGGGGGTGGGGTTCCGCACATGAGAGGTGGTGGTGGCGGAGGCATCAGACAATTGGAATCAGGAGGCAGTGGCGGCGGTGTGTTGGAGAGCGAGCTGTTGGCAGTGGGCGCACAGATATCTGCGTCGTCGTCATCTCTCAAGTCTGTGAAGTCCAAGTCATTGATGAGAAGGGGTCGGGACAGGGAGTTCACCAATTGATCCCATTGTAAATACTCGGTTTGATTCTTTGGATCGGATAGCGATTCTTTGGCACTTATTATTCTCTGAAGACTTCCATTGATTATGGGGTCCGTTAAGGGCGTTGCGTTCATGGGTTTCATAATCTTCTCTTTGATTGTGCGGACGGATTCCGATGACTTCATATGGTTTTCGATGTTCTCGTTAGTAGTGTTGGAATTCCAGGCATTAGTCGCCGGAATAGGCTTTCCATTCACTAAATGTGTGTTCTCTTCGTTGTTCTTCGCGTACATCATTGACAACATCCACGCCTTCTTGTCGTTCATACTGTTTTGTTTTGTCAAAACGTACTGTCCATTCATGTGGGATGTCATGTCGTTTGTCTTAACACTATTTAAGTTATCATTTCGCATACAATTATTATTATTATTTAAATTATTGAATAAATTATTGTTATTATTATTTATATTATTATTATTCTCCCATTTATTGGAAGTGATATTCTGTTTGTTCTGAAGTGAGATCTGATTATTCTTGTTGTTCTCGTCCTCAACATTCCTGTTCACCCTCTCGACCATCGATGGCGGAAGGATTTTGATCGTCTCGATCAGTGATGGCTTCTCCTCTCCGCTCCCATAACTACCATAAGAGGCGTAACTTCCGTAGGAATCCGCGGAACTACACGAAGATATACTCGATCTCTGATTGATCTCTTGCTCTTTAATTTTGAGTCTCACATCGCCTTCCTTTCGCATTCTTAGCGGAGACTTAGTGTCATCGAAACCAGTCGTCACAATATTTGGGTTCAGATTGTTATTACTTAAAATCTTTTTGTGGAACTGTTCCGTCTGTTGGAGTACTTTCCTGTGCCACGAGGGAAGGCTTGGATTGTTTTTGTTTGCGTTATTCAAGAGCTGTTGTTTCAGAGCCCCTCCACCTCCTGAAGGTATGTTTCCAAACGAATGGCGTCTACTCTTCCGGCGGTCTTCGTCCAGTCCGGCGCCGCTCTTACGCCTCAATACTATTTTGGTTGAGTCTAACGGCAAACCTCTGCCGTCGTGTTCGCCGTCTTCATGCCGGAGGACTGTCTCATATGTGCGGAACTGTTGGAGTAAGTCGTTGTCAGTGCCCTGTTTGGACATATAGTGCTGAATGATTCTCTCCATCCCCTGCTCCTCAATGTTATCCGTTATATCATAATAGCGGTCCTGATCTGAGATTCCGTTCAAAGTTTTATTTATGAGAGTCATTGAGAAAATCAGTAATTCAATGTCCGCCGAATCCTTTTCATTCAATATATTCATGACATTAGTCCACGGCTTCACACCTTTTGAAGGGATGGGCGAAGAGATTACATGAGAGAATTGATTACGAATGCAACGGAATCTCATTACCTCTTTCGGAGTCAACTGTTTCTATAGACTTAACTAAAAGCAAACAATTGTCGTCCGCATACTCGACGAACACTAGAAGTAGTTTTAAAGCTGTCTTTACGACTAAACGATACTATAATAGAGAGAGAGAGAGAAAGAGAGAGAAGACATACAATATTTATGACCAGAATTATTATTTCAAACAAACAAACAGTATTTATATTGTATATAAACAGAAAACATTGAATTAATATTGTTTTTGATGTGAAATAAATCGTGACTTTTAAAATTGAAATGAAGAATACCTGCGAAGAGATGAGAGTATAGAGCCATTGAATGGTCTCGTTATGTTCAATGACACCATTCATACCATCCACATATAGCATCAGTTGTCCTAAAGCTGTGTATAATAAGATCGTAAAGAATAGATTATAACTATAAATATTATTAATACCAAAGGATCACAATTCATCTCAAATGAGGAGATTTAAAGATTACTAAAAACAACAATAAATGTCTAATTGAGAGGACATTCAATGCAACAAAAGATCTTTTCATATCATTAAAGTCAGAAAAACAAAAAATATAGTGAATAAAAGTGTAATGAAATTGCAGTTAAAGTCAGAGAAAGAATTGGAGAGAGAGAGAGAGAGAGAGAGAGAGAGAAAGAAGTGATGTATAAAAAAAGTTGTCTCTCATTTACCTCTCAAGATATAGTTCTGATAATTTTGATCCGCTTCAGATCCGACCTTGATGAGACAGGCCAGACCATCGTTTCTCACAAACTCTTGGACCAAGTGGTCGTCGTCCTGTTAATAAGAAAACATTAGTTTGCGTTCAAAGGTTTTTATTTAAATCTCGCATAGCATTCAAATCGACTCTCAATTGGCTTTATTTGATTCCTTATGTTTAAAAGCTTTTGTTGCAATCGTCAGTCGATTTGAAGGCAATGCCTATTGAATGCATTTGAATGCATACCTGAAATATTTGTTTTAAAGAAAATAAAGCTCTTCGCAAATCACGACCGCTTGTGTTTAACAGTTTCTCTATTGGAAAAGAGTTTGCAAAAAGGCATTCAATAAAATATTTTTTCGTAAATCTTATGCTGTCGTGTATATCAAACACTTGCTATACATATAATATTATATGTATTTTTCAAATCTCAAACATCAAACATATATAAGAGTTAATCATTTTGATTCCATTATAATATTGAAATTTATTACAATATATCAGAACTAATACAATATGAGCGCTAAACCAGTAAAATATAATCAATGGTTAAGTGATTTCATGAGAATTTCAGTCCAAACACTGACTCCACTATACTATACACTATACTATAGACTTCAAGAAATGCAAAAAATGAAGTTCTATTCAATTATATCCTTTTTTATACCAAATTATAGTTCAAATATTGCATAAAATTTCTTTTTTGTCAAAATATAAAATTAAATTTCTTGCAAATCATTTCGAAACTAATTGCCTGAATGTCACAAACTCTTAATTTCAGATATAAAACGTAAGGTAAGTCCCGTTCCCTTCATTCACAACATGAACCTGAAATGCTTCATAAAAAGCGTCTGAGTTTAATAAACTTATGCGTTTGTATGCAATGGGCACAGGTATGGGCACAGGTAGGAGATGTTTCCTAATGTTTATAACTTTGTGTTCAGGTGGTGGACAATCACTTGAAAGTACTCAATAGCGAGTGCCATAACTTATCATTTCAATAGTTATAACATTAGTTATGGTAGCTTTCAAGACATAAAACAATCAATAAAATTGTTTTCGTAAGAATAAAATAAATATTGAAATAAAAATGTTTAATTTATACCAAAAACGATTTTATGATTTAATAATCTTTTAATATAACTGTAATAAAGTGATGGCTATTATAAGGTATTAAACAATAAAAAGCAGAGTTTCCTATAAAAGAGGTTTTTATGTGGAGTATTGAAGAATAGATTTATTTATAAATAAATAAATACAATATAATTAAACATTTGGCTGATTTTTTGTTTTCAATTCATTTGTAAGTCATAAGAGATAAACTGGAAAAGCTTTGTTGAGATAAAACACAAATATAGTGTTGTGTTTGGGACGAGTACTCTGCACTGTATAGAGTATTGGTATATGTATTATATAATAAGTGCCTGTTCCCTGTTCTAGTACTGGTGCTTCAGGTCATTCAGTATCTCGAAATGTGGCAAATATTTGAGAACCTTTGAGAACCTCCTATTCCTCCTATTTATCATTATTATAGTGAAGCGAATAATTTATAATAATTCAGATTTTGAAAGTATATCGAAACAGATTAAGAAAGAATTTTTCAAACTATGCGCTCATGTATTATGTGTTTTTGGATCCACAATTATTATTCAATATATTTAGTCCAATGAATAGATCAATAGATAAATACATCAATACTTGCCTATCAGTCCTATCAGTGAATCAATTTTGTCGGAAAAATATTTACTAAACTCCTTACCTATGATTGTATGCACTCTAACAGAGAGTTGAGTCCGAAGTATAACTGCATTCTTGCGGCTGAAAAGTAATTGAGATTTAATTATCACTCAAATTATTAATCAATTATTCAAAAGGCTTTTACCGTAATTTACTTTGAAATGATTTGAAATTAATTTTTACCAATACATACAAAACGAAAGTGAGAAATAAGGACTAAACAATTCTATAAATTATATTTGTTTTTATATTTGAAACGAGAAAATAAGAAAAAATTAATTTTTTGTTTATAGAAATGTGTGAATCGATTACATTATAAAAATCGTGATATTAATGAATGAGCGTCAAAACGAAACCCCAATTCTTATTCACAAAAATAATAAAAATATTAATCATTTAAAAACGAGTCAATAATATAATTAACTAACGGCTCATTCTTGAAGTGTTTGAACACAATATGTTTGCAACAAAAAAGTTTTGAAATAATTTTTTTGTAATGAGATTTAAGCGCTTTTGCATTCATTGTGTGCTCTTGTGTTCAATGTTTTTCCTCAAATGAATTAAACTTATATTTCATTAATATATTCAGAAAATTACAATTAGTGTTGGAATACAATTCAATTTAAGGCTATAAAAAATAGTTTAACTAATAATGAAACGGATTGTGTTATGAATAAAAACTACTGAATTGTTGTTTTGAAGTATTAATTTATAATAATTGTATAATATTAAAAATATTATTTGATAATAGCTTTTAAATTATGATTAAACGACGTATTTATTTAACATAACAATCAAATGAGTCCTAAATTGAGAAAAATACACCAAAAATCACTTGTTATAAATCATATGAATATACATCCAAGTTTTTAATAGTTTTTACTTAATATCACTTAAAAATATATTTTAGCTACAATTTCCGTACATCTACTGAAAAGTCTACGAAAATACAAATCATTCTTAAAATACCCTAAAATATGCGCTAAAAAGTTATTTCAAGTTAAGCTATAAATCTAATTATAAATTCTTATTAATCAATATCAATACAAATAGATACTAGAATAATATGATGTTGATGATTTCATATTATAATGTTAATAAGTTTACATGAATACTTTTATTGAAAATAAAATCTATTTAAATAAAAGGTTTAGTAAACCTTAACCCAAACCCCGACCAAAAAGTGATTCAAATTCTCAGATATTTTCACGCAATGTATGACCAGTTTGTGATTGAAAAGAGAATAAAGAAAAAAACTAAAAGTAGTTTTAAAAGTCGGAAAAAATAATTTCAATTAATTTGAAATGCAACAAATGTATGGTTAGAGAGTGGAGGGAAACATATATTTGTGAGTTCTTTGGCGACGTTATCCTCGCGAATGATAATCAATGCAATCAAATGTATGGATAGTAATGGAACTAATTTGTTGGTGTTGTGGTAATAAAGCAAACAAGTATTGGCTAAAAAGCTTTTATGTAATGGAAAGTAGTGTTGTTCAGTGAGTTGTGAGTTGTGTTTATAGTGTGACTCTATGTATAACTTCTATCACTTGGAGCCTGAAGTAAGAGTGAATTCTTTCGAAGCAAATCGACAAAAGACTTAAAATTTTTGTTCACTTCGCTTCAACGGCTCATAATATATCCTAAAATCACTGGGAGGTATAGATCACTATAAAAGAAAAGTTGAAAAGCAACTCATCCGACACAACCAATACAACCAATTTTATTGTTGCCTTATTTTTTGCACGTTTTATTGAAAAAAGACTAACTTTAACACCGACTCTACCGCACAATCACACTATTGTTATACACTGTTTGCAACACATTCTGCATTTAATTGTCTCAAATTCCTGGCTTCTAATGTCCTTCACTTATATGTTATTATCAAAAAGTTATTGAAATATTTACTCATTCATTATGGATTGGAAGTAAATATTTGAAATATTGATATGAGATAACAATATAGAGTAGAGTAATGTATGTAATAGTATGGCATAGTATGGCATAGTATGGTATAGTATTGAAGATAAATAGATGGTATAAAAGAGTGGTATGTCTTAAAGAGTGGTATGTCTTACTTGAGAGTGAAGGAGTCGAACTCATCGGACTGCTCATCGATGGTGGCCTCGAGGTCCAGATAGTTAGCGAAGTCATTGTTTTCAGTGCCGTATTTGTATAGTTGAAGCGCACAGTCGTCTAACTGTAAGACCGAGTGATATAACATTTCATAAATCTCAAGCACTCATTACTATAAGATTACTATAAGTACGCAATCAATGATTGATTAAACAGTTATTTATTGTGAGAAATGATTGAAATATTTTTGTATTGCAAAAAACGCTATGAAAAGAGAAACCACTCCTTAATCCTTAATATTTATAAGAAATTCTTTGCTTTTCTTGTTCTCAACAATAATATAGCAATAAATTTGAATTATGAATACGATTGCCGTTCAAACAATTAGTTTTTTAATTGAAATGCAACGAGTGCTACCAAAAATACCATTTCATTCATTGCCAATAGCTTGATATAAATTTTCATTGATCTGCTTTATATTTGTTTTATATTTTTTCTGACTTATAAGCAATAAGTAATACACAATACATATTTGGATCGGTTTGTGCTTTTATGGTCTAAACACGAAGTCTGTAGTCAACGAGAATAACACAAAAACTTTGTTGAGAATTATTATTATTCATAGCAGTTGTCAATAAAAGTTTGTAAAACTGTTTCATAAGTGAGATATGCAATGGGAACCGATTGTAATACTAATTATTAAATAAATAATTGCAGTCATATATTACTGAATTATAGTTTGATAACATAGTGTACACAAAACACAGGTAAAGTACAATAGGTTATAATAATAATAAACATCATAATGTGGTATACATTATACAGCAATTTAAAGGCATTTATGCTGTGTTTGTATGAGATGTGAAACAAGATTTCATGCGATTACCATAAACTCAATTCAGGACTTACTCTGTGCGGGGCTTTTAATAAGCGATGAATAGTTGCGATTTGATTAATCAATGGTATGTTCACATTGAATGTATAAAGTGGTGGACGGGAGGGCTCCGGGAACTGAGTACAGGCGCCGAACGGGTCGGTATCATTAAGGTATTGCACTTTACACGTCAATGTTGTCATTGTCTCTCAACTATCTCTCATTCAATAGGTATTCCTGAGCATCAAATCATATGAAATCCATAGACATGTGGATACAGTATCACTGAATTGAAAGAATTCAATTGAATGACCGTTTGGGTAGAAGTTTAGCAAAAGTTTAGCAAAAGTTAAAATCTTTAAACAAATAACCAAAAGTTATGTCACTTTATTCACAAACATATTATGGGAAGTTTGGTACACTTGGAGAGCACTGGTAGGTCTCTGTGAGAGCACTGGTAGGTCTCTGTGAGAGCACATTCAGCCACACATTCCTGTTCTGATGGGACAGTAATACTGTTCTGTGGGTTCTGTTGGTTCTGTTGCCGGGAAATGAGAAATATGTCGGCCTATGCTCTGGTGGTACAGACGCTTACCATTGATAACAAAGTCTTAGCCAACAGTGAATAGAGTGGAGAGTAAACTGGAAATACAGGTATAAAGGATAGGAAGGATAGGCATCTCGTATGCCTCGAGTATACACCAAAACAAGAACTCTATTCACAGACAATCTCTTTAGGAACTGGTGTTCCCTTGTATTGGATCCGCGCATGACTTCTATGCGTCCAAAAAGTTACCGATTTTCACAATTGCTTTTTGCACGCAATTTGTGATTCACTTTTCATTAAACGCTTCAATTATTGTAATATCCATTCAATACTCTATTCAATCTATCGATTCAATTCCCAAACAACTGATTAACTCCTATTTTTTCACTACCCAAACAATTTCCGCCCACATATGCACTGATAGTCGCCATACGATTGTCTCCAAGTCTATCACTACACACAACCGCTCATACAGACTATACCGTAGACGCGGACTCTGTTTGCTGAACAACAACTGAATTAAGTGTCAATTTTTCAATTTACACAAAAACATCAAAACATCTTTCAATCGCTCACAACATGTGAATACAACTCTTCACTTCAATTCCCAAATAATTTCATTGTTTTCAAGTCAACCTCAACTCTCGTACATAAGAACATTACTTAGCATTCAATTCATACCAAAAAACTATTGATTGAAAAGAGTTATTAACTTTAAAAATCAGTTTCGATATAATTTCAGTTCTTTTCGACTTAATTACAGAAATATGAGACTATATACGAGTTTTTACTAATTTATGAGTCATAAAATATTTAAAAATGTAATAACACTCAAAAACATTTCTAAATTTGATATAAATGGAGTAATAAATAGATTTCAATTTTCTGTAACAAATTGTGTAACACATCTGAAAACGACTAAAATTACAGAATTTACTTTTCGTACATATAATAATAAATTAATCTGAAATTTTAGATAAAAGCATTCCATATGTTTTATAAACCGTTAATATTGTGGTGATTATTGAAGTAATTTCTCATTTTTCTCAATAAACTTAATTAAGGAAACGATATCTGAAGTGTTGTTCAAACATAATATATAAAAAGTTTGTTGAATATTATATTAGACAACGAGAGAGAAGATTGAGTTAAACTAATGATTTGTAGTAAACTATAGTCTATGAGAAGTTTGGAGTCAATTATTTGATATATTTATTGAAGTTTTCACTCGAGTTTTCCATAAATCATTGGATTCTAAATTGAGATTTAAGTGTAATTAATAAAGTAATCGCAAATAAACTCAAATACAAATACACTTAATCTTTAAAAATAGACTGATTTCGAGATAGTTTTTCAGTATTTTCAAAAATAATGAGTTAAAAGACATAAAATATTTAGTGATTTTGGTAAACGAACTCCACATGTGAAGACATACCCCTATGCCATAGCAATGCCTGCATTTATTAGTGCAATGCTTTCATCGCAACTAACTTTAGGATTGTATTAAACATATTTGTAACAACTTTTAGGATGAATGTTATGAAAACATGTTGACTCGCATCACAAGAATTACTTAATTTATATTCATTTTTGAAAACATAAGACATAAGACATATATCGAGGAAATGGATCGCAAATGCTGTGCGAGAGTTGACTTCGAGAGAGACACCGAATCCTCGTATCGTTTTTGTATCTCATATTATGAATAATATTTGAAAATTTTTAGATAAACACAATTTGTGGTCATTTACTGTGTGTACTGTATATACAACTGTCAGATGCTTTGAGAGAGACTGAGAGCTGAGAAGCAAATCTAATTAAGCGCTCAAAATGCTTGAGGAATACCAAGTGTTTGGCATTTAATGTGAGAATAACTGTTATTTAATGGCTATAAACTTGAATTATTTCCATTATTTGAAGCCATTAAATGTTTTTTGTACAAATAACTATAACATATTCTTTCATAATAAAATTGATGCAAATATTATAATATTGTTTTGCTTTTAGCTATAAATTTATGATTATATATAAAGAAGTTTTTTGTTTGACATTTCATTTCTCAAAATTCACTTACAGTTCAATTCTGTGATTATTTAGTTTCCGGATTTGATTTGAGAGTCAAAGTAAGTTAAGAATTAGATCTCAGGCCCACTCTTCGTAAACATTCATCTTTGGCTTAATCTTCAAAAATAAAATCGGGTTTAAAACAGATCTAAAGTAAGACTCAATTTTAGGCAAAACCTTATTCCACTAAACATGTGGAAAATGTGCCAAAAAATTTGTTTTCTCTATGGATTTCGGTGATCATAAATATTGCAATAAATATTCATTAAAATTTCCTTTCATATAATAGGATATTATTCGAGATTTTCTCTAATCTATTGAATAGAAAGCATCAAATCTGTGCCGAAAATTGATTGATCGCATCGATTGACGATTATATGAAGATTATCTAAGAAACCAAAATTGGTTTCGTTATAAATAAACTTATTTTTCTGTTTATTAGTTGTGAAATACATTCTCTTATAATAATAATAAGTGGTTTAATGTCAATTGCATTTAAACCACTAAAATGTGTCAACTATTTGAATGCCAACTGTTGTTACGTAAATACCTTTATATTTACAACTTATGTTGAAATCACTAAAACCTACGTTAAGTTATAAACGTTATATAATATACGGTGTAAAATATAAAACAACAATTTCAACACCAGTACAACATACATAACATGATATATTTATTTTTAATTTAATATAATATAAGGTAAAATACCAGAATAGCAGGCAATAGTGGAATACTTATTTACTAATAAATTACTTATACATTTTAAAAATCAATTATCAGTAATTGGATCTCTACTGCAGTTTATTTGATATGTTTTTGTTGTAAACAGCAGACAATTATAGTAATTGATAGACACATATAATTAATAATTTTCGATATAACTATAAATATTAATATATAGCACTGAAATACGGTATACTGAAATATAAATATTATGAGTATACAGTACATTTATTGTCTTTTGAATAATGTATTGTATGAGCAATAATGCAAATGATAAGGGGATTGCTTACAACTGAATGTTGTCTATTAGTTTGAGTCAAATTAATTAGAGTTTGCAAAGTAGTCATCTCTTATCCTGACTATGCTTTCTGTAATGAATTTGAATCCAATTCTCATTGTTTTAATCATAACAACATAAATAATTGTCATTCTCTACACAAACAACTGCTATTACTATGAATAGTTGTGTGAATGAAATTTGCAAATGATTTGAACGATAATTGTATGGAATTATAATTACAACCAATAATTTGTTTTCTAAATTCACATAAAATAGTCTTCAGATCATTAAACTCTCGGAGAGAGAGAGAGAGAGAGAGAGAGAGAGAGAGAGAGAAATATTTTTCCATTTTCTATTGTAATATACTTTTGACACTTTTTTTAAATCAAAGAAATTCAATTCAGAAGAGAAACAATTTTCAAGTTTTCTTACTTTTATCCGACCCGTCAAACAAGTTTCACAATATATTATATAATCATTTACTGTATTGCTTACAGTTTAATGTTTCGGATCTCAATCTATTCGACGCCAATAGAAATCTATTCAAATCTCTCGCAAATTCTCTGCATTTTATTACAACTAATTTTTATGAATATTTTTTCATATTTTAATGTTAACTCAATTATAGATTCATAGGTTTAGCCAATGTTTAATACTCGCCAAAAATGTTGTACTTTTTTGGTATAAAAACTATAAAATTCTTATAAAATGCATATTTATTTGACTAATGGTTAATCAAATATAATTTTCTCGCTTTTACTCTAATCCGGATTCCGGACTATAAAACGAGATTTTATTCAAAAAGTTTTTGTGTATTTCTCTGTGGACTAGAGTTTTTGATCCCTTAACTTGTCAGACGAGTGCTAAAAAAGTGAAAAACCTATACATCTATAGACATGTGATTAACTATTGAAGAATTGCTGGCATTTGGTTATGATATTGAATACAATTGGAAGAATTCAAATGAAAGTCAGTAGCACTTCATCGGCTTTTTTGTTGCTTTTGATCCATTATTTCCATTACATAACCAGTCGAATGGATCACTGACTGTCATTCCCTTTGCATACCTAACCTAACCTAACCAACTATAATGTACTTTACATTCTCTATGGGGTAATACACTAACAAACCTTAAAACCTTTCATTTTTCATTAAAACAAACCACTATTAAGTGATTTGTACTCTTTATCTCTCACTAATGACATGTGATTTCGGTTTCACTCGAGATATCATTTCCTAATTAAAGTGAACAACAAAATAATGCAAATTATTGTTACATTATGCTGTATATAATTATAGATCTATGGATCTACAGTATATTCACATCTATAGTACGATTTTAGACATCGATTATTAAAATGCAATCAAAATTATGTTTTGCGAGTTTGCGATTCACTATCTAAAGACTATTATTTAAATAAAATTTACAACACTTTCAAAACGCAATGACAGCCAAATTTTTTAATTCAAAACATAATCTATTCATAAAATTTTTAAAAACCTTTTTTGCGCATAAAATATTTCAGATGTTTGATGTTTAAAAATGAATTTTGTGTTCAATTAATGTAAAGAAATAATTAGTAAAT